CTAACCTAATTTAATTAGGTTAAATTTGGTGGGAGTGGATGAGGAATTCATTGAAGGTCGTAGTGTTTGACTAAAATGTAAATATGGCAGAAATTAAAAACAATTAGAATGTTAAAATGAAAGATAAGCAAAAGACAACAGTAACACTGCAATTAAAGAGTGATGGAAGTAATATTAATTTTCTTTATTGCCACATTTATTATTGATTACCTTCTTTGTTTGTTAGCATATTCTTGAAAATGATGACCAAAGCGAAGCGGCTGGTGAACCCTAATTAGTTGTCGGTGTTTGTTGGCAGAGCTCGTCTCTGTTTTCTTCGTCATCTCCCATCCTCGGCCAGAGATGCGCCGAACACACTAAAGCTTTCGACTTTCCGACACCCTCTCAGGTTTTACCTCTTTCATCTTTTTTTTTTTCTTGTTTTTTCCTTCTCAAAGGGCTTTTATTTTCTCTGGTATTTTTTTTTAGTCTGCCCCTAAGTTTTTCTTATTCCCAATTGTACTGATGAACCGAGGAAGGGGACTGATCACTTGCTGACATTTGCATTAGATATTGTTTGGATAATTTTCGTAGTAATTGTATTGGTGATTGTAGAGTTGGGTTAGCACAAATATGTGTAGAGTGGTGTGATGTTTGCTATGTTATTGAAGGGACAGTGGAATGATAAGCATGTTAAATGGGGTTATTTGTTTCAGTTTCTCATCGGAGATATGTTACAATTTGAGTTACAGCGAGTGAGCACTTGAATTTTTATTACCTGTGTGTTTGGGTTCACATTAAGTTATCTAGAAGCACGTTGAAGTACCAGCTAAATGCCTTGATGTTTGATTGCACACTGAATATTTGATCTTGAGTTCAAGCAACTTTATGGAGCTTTGATAAAAATAATTTATACAAAGTTTTACCATTGCTTTAAGAATAAAAACATCCACACGTGAATCACATCCTCTTTTCTTTCAAAACCAGTTTTGCAAAATAATTACTCAAGCACACATAAGCTTGAAGACTTGTTTTCTTGACAGGTGTTTGATTAAGTGTTGCTATGTTATAATGTTAACATTGTAGGTTTTTCCTGTTCATTACATAGTGCAACTTGAATTGGATGCACATGTTAGCGAAAGCACATAGTAAGGGGGATGGAACCAAGTCCCTGGCTAAGATACTGGCGAAATGGAAAGAATATAATGCCCAGCTTGATTCCTGTGATGATGCGGATAAACCAGTTCGCAAAGTTCCTGCCAAGGGATCAAAAAAAGGGTGTATGAAAGGTAAAGGTGGGCCTGAGAACTCGCGGTGTAATTACAGAGGTGTTAGGCAGAGGACTTGGGGAAAGTGGGTTGCTGAAATCAGAGAGCCGAACAGAGGGAATAGGCTCTGGCTAGGTACTTTTCCCACTGCCATTGGAGCTGCCCTTGCATATGATGAAGCAGCGAGGGCAATGTATGGATCCTGTGCCCGTCTTAACTTTCCCAATGTTTCTGTTTCCAGTTTCTCTGAGGAATCCTCCAAAGATTCTCCATTGGCGAATCATTCTGGTTCCTCAAAGGCAGTGTCTGCAAATGAATCCATGGTTTCACTTAGTAACTCTAAGGGAGGAGGAGCAGAAGAGGATGTCGATATGGAGCCCATTTCCTTATCCTTAAGTGTAAAACACGAGAACGGTGAAGGTGAATCAGGGATAAGTTCATCTCCTCCTTCTTCTTCATAGTGTACATTTGAACATGGCTAAAATTCTTAGCTCATGTACTTGTTAATGGTAGCTTAGGTTTAATGAATCCTGATATGTGGTCCCTGGAGATTAACTGCTGTAAAACTAAAATGAACTTGGTTGCAAAATGGTCATTCTTCTGATTTTGGCCCAATGTGCTCAAGGTATCCCCATTCTGTTTTTAACTCATCATATGTGAATTATACTTACCTTTGTTTTGTCTTGTAAGATGCTCCTTCCCTGCCAACTCTACACCTCCAAACCCACTGCTACTGTCTCTTAATTTTCCTGCTAATGCTGCATGAGTTGCCACTCTCAGAATTGATTTATTTCATTTGCAGAATTTCCATTTTTATATTATACTGTTTTTGCTATGAATGATTGATTGGATTATAATAGGATAGAATAGTGTATGGTGACTCTACACAAAGCAGATGGGAACAAAGCATGAAGTATTTGAGTTTGAGATGGATTTGCCGCAGTTTCAAACCAACATGGATGGGAAACACAATCTTTTCTATATAATAAAATCATATCGGATTAACAAAAAAGACGACATTCTCGAGACCAGGAGAATAGGAGGATTCATAACCATAATTATGTCAAAGTTTTCGAGTTTTTTCTTTTCTCATCATAGAATATTTGTTGTGCTGTTTCCTGTGACCCTCCGCCCGCAATCCCATGATGCTAGCTGTACTGAATATCGATTCTTTCAATTATAGACAATCTGAAAAGGTTACACTAGTATGTAGCTGATATTCTATATTCTTGGGCTCCAAATTAGATTATATTTTGAAGTGACAATTTGGATGATGTATTAAGAGATTTTTTTCTAATCAAAAAAGAAAAAGAAAAAGAAAATACAAAGATGAGATTTTGAAAAAAGGGCCGTTCTTTAAAATTATCTGGTCCTTTTCGACATTATCCGTGGACTAATAAATGAGTATTTTCTTGGGTCAAATAGAAAGATTTCTGTTTTGGGGCGAAAATAAATATCTCCCTATTTTATTTCGTCAATCCCAGTTTTTGTAGTTACTCACATTTAAAAATATGGCTATTCCTGTTATCTTATTAATCCTTTTTTATTCTTGTTACTTTTATCTGTAAATTTTAAAAATATGTTTTATTTGTGTATTCAGGAAAATGGCAACATCAATAACTATCTTATCCAATTATATAGTTGTTTCTATTTTTTTTAAAAACACAAGCTAAAGAATAAAATATAAAAATCAAGGGGTAAACGTATTTGCAGCATTTTTTAAGAACTTTCTAAATTTATATTATTTTGTCGTAATTATTGGCATTATTAATGTGGGTTACTCCTTATACATCAGATTTCTTCCTACACCACCACAATTTTAAAAAACTCTAAAGTTATCCTTTATATTTTAAAAAATCTTACACTCTCACTTCTTTTCTTCAATGAATATTAATATCTATGTCACAAATGCGGTCACATTAGTTTAAGTTTTATGTTTTTTATTTTTATTTATTAATTTATTTTTATTTTAAATTAATATATAAATATTATTTAAATTTCTTTTAAATTTGTTACGTAAATATAAATTAATTTTATTTTATTTAATGAAATAATTAATATTAATTTAATTTAATTATATTATTTTTTAATTAATTATAAGCAACGAATATAATAAAATAAAATTAATTTACGTAATATTTTATAAAAAACAAAAAAGTTTAAATAATCTATAAATTAATTTAAAATATAATATTTTAATAAATTAAAAACTTGAAAAACGGATGTGACGTTTATTAAAATTAATTAAAAAATGATATAATTAAATTAATAATAATTATTTAATTAAATAAAATAAAATTAATTTAAATAATATTATAAAAAAATAATTTAAATAGTCTATAAATTAATTTAAAATATAATATTTTAATAAACTAAAAACTGAAAAAAGGCATAAAGCTTAAACGGATTGACATATCCGTTGAAGAATAGAAGTGAGAGTGTAAGATTTTTTAAAATGTAAAGTATAGTTTTATAATTTTTTAAAAATGTGGTGGTGCAAGAAACAATTTGGCTGGTGTAGGGAGTAACCCCTCATTATTAATTAGCATGGGAGTTTGGATACGATTTTCTTAACTGTTAAAGGAATAATTTAAGAGTGTTTCATCTTCACCCCAAACATTTCATTCTGCACTTTAAAATGTCCCTAATTAATAAGTGGTTTAAAAATTTAAATTTTTTATTATTGAGAAATTCTGTGCACACTCCTCTATTTTCCTCTAATCACCAAACATGCATTCTGCACCTCACCCTTGCATCCCTGCACCCCTAGTTTAAAATTCTTTTAATACTATAAAATTTATTATTTCATTAAAAATAAATAAATTTAATTCAAATCTTTATATAAATAAATCAATTATTAAAATATAACAATTTAATTAAAATAAAATTCAAAAAAAGGATAATCGAAAATTTCAAATAAATTATTAATTAATTAATTATTAATTAATTTAAACCATCCAAAATAACTTTAAAAGAAATTAAATAAAAAAAGATATAACAGCTACCAGTTTACTAAACATTAAATATAAATTTAAAAACATTAAAATAAAATAAAAACTGATTTACATCGAATGTCAGAATGCTATGCAGGCTGAATCGGTTATCACATCCAATTTAGCCCCATCGCCTCTCCAAATCCTACCCACACCACACCACCAGTGTAAATCCACTCTTCTACCATCTTTCATCATGCTATAAAAAATGTCATAAAACACCAATGCTATCAAATGCTTAAAAAAATAATAAGACCATCAACCTTTGAGATGACGCTGGTGGTTGCAGTGAAGCGAGAACTGGGTGGGTGGTTGCAGGAAGAAAATCTACTTCAACCTGCTCATGTTTGTGTGTGTATGCAAAATGCAATCAAAGTCTGAAAGTGTGCTCTAAGAACGGAGAGAGGAAGACGAAAGCGAGAGGGAGAGGGAAGCGCGACAATGCCTGGACGACCGCTTGTGTGCGAAGTGGTCCCACGAGAATGGAGAGAAAAAGAGAAAACCGAGAGAGTTGTGTGTTGTGCAAGAATGGAGAACAATGTTCTCAGAGAGCAAGGGGAGAGGGAGAGAGAACTTAATAATGAGATGTGACATAGAAATGAGATGTGAGAGAGAAGCCGACTTTGCATGCACTATTGCTATAAAAAAATCTTTACCGTCCGGTCCTCCCGACACATAGATTGAGTATTCAAACTAATATTGTCCGAGCTTTGATAGATCGTACGGTCTTCCAAAACCGTCTACCCAGGTCACAATCAAGACAGTTAAGATTGACCTATTGGCCAACTGTACATAGAACGAGCGGCCTTCCAAAGTCGTTCATCTAGGTCGACCGACAAGACCGAGTGTCCATCGTGACCGATCGGCAGAACCGAGTGGCTTCCCACCCAGGTTGACATTTTTGACAGGTGCACGACGGCTCGGCTTGGAGAGAGCGAGGAGGAAGAGGACGAATACTACAACCAGGACTTGAAGATGAGAGCCCGTTCGGCCCTTCCCAGCACATCCAGCCCTCATCCAAGAGCTCGTGAGAAAGCGTCCGTCTGTCACCAAGCGTTCGTCTGATCCGTAGCATGAGATATCATCCGTCTACCAATTTTTACCGTTGATGAGTGTTTTGATAGGATCCCACCATATCCGATTGAAACATGAATAATCCAGAACTTATATTACATGTAATTATAAATTTAGGAACAAAATATTTCTGGCAATATTTTATTGAAGTTTTATTCCAGTAATCTGTGCAAACCTTCCTCTTATGGTTTATAGTGTAAAACTTAAGTCTATTATCCAAAATATTTTCAAATACGAAAATAAAAGAATCATCTCCGACTTTCAGATTGACTCCCACACGTATTTCAAAATAAAATATGAAAGGAATTGAAAGTCGGGACTCCCAGTCCATTAAATATTGGATCGTACATATTAATGTCTCGTGCAGCCTCAAATTCTCTCGATACTAGGTTTTCTCAATTCAATAAGATTATGTCAGAACTTAGATAATGTTCAAAATTTTAAAAATAGAAGTGTATTGATAATAAATTTAAATATTTTTAATTCATATCTTCAAAATATTGGTTAAAATTAATGTTTAGTTTTTAAATTAAGGACACACCAATGTACAAAATTTTTTTTGAAAATTTTTTTATTATTGAAATGAATGTTATGCATGAACAATGATTATGATTTTTTATAAAGTCAAATGCCTTTTATGAGTTTGTGAAGTCTACGTTTTTGTGATTGTTGTTCTTTAATAACCGTAATTCATAAATCAGATAGACAAGAATATAAAAGTGAGTCAGTTCAGTATAGAGGTTAACTTATGATAAGTTAAATTAAAGGTGAATCATATAAATTTAGTTCTTTTTTTTATAAGTTAAAAGTTTATAATATGGCTCAATCTATTATGGATTGATGCTTGATGCTCATTTAAAAATATTTTAATTTTTTAAATTTATTACAATATAATTAAAATAAACCGATTAACATTGCTATAAAATATTAACTAATATTATTATAAAAATAATAGTTAAATATAAAAATTTTAATTTACAGATAAACAAGTAAATTAAACATTGAAATTATTCAATCATTATTAAACAACATATGCCATTTACAAATATAAATTGTAAATTTATATAATTAAAATAAATAATAATAATAATAATTAGTAAAAAACTGATAAAAAGTTATTGTAGATGAGTTACATATCAACCTAAATTCAATTGGACTTGAATTCATTTAATTTGTAAGATCAGATAATTTGATTCATATTGAAAAAAAAATATAAATTTTAGTTATCCTAACTTAGTTCAAAGGTGAGTTAGATTGGTTCAAGGATTGAAATTCATTTTGACTATTAAAAAAAAAAGTTGATACGTTTGCAGTGAATTAGAGTATATTAAGGTAAAGTTTTCAGATAATAACAAGTTCTGGGAGAAGATTAAAATGTGGTGCAAAATGGGTGATACGAAAATATAGTGGAAGTAGAGATTGTATTAGAATGATAAGATGTAAAATATTTAGTGTAATAGGTTTGGATGGAAGGACAAATAATTGTAAACCGCGGGAACAGACATGAGCTGGGAGAAACAGTGAAATGAGAAACAAGTTATTGTACTTGTTGGTGTGATGATCACAAATCCATAACTATAGGCTCCTCCCATACTTAATTACTTATGTCCCAAACCTA